GATGGGCCGGGGCCATGCCCAGCCCCAGCAGAGGAATCGCCCTCATTCGTGAGATTAGGGTTCCAAAAAGTTGCACAATGCTCGGTCCCCATAAACGTCAGCAGGGACACAGGGAACCCAGCCGGCCGCTCCCCCACACACGCTACCTTCTGATGTTTGGTCTGCAGCCTTCAAAATATCAAGGACGACTTCTCTGAGCTCCTGCAGCGGCTGCGGGAAAAGCAGAAGCAGGTCAAGGCAGGCAGAGAGACCGGGAGCAGGGACTGGAGTTACAACCGAACAGGAGAAAAGGGGTTTGCTGCCTCACAGCCCCCTTGTGCTGGCCTCCAAAGTGGCTAAAAGCTGCCGAATTTCCCATCTCCCAGTGAGATCTCGGTGTGCAGGCACAGCACCCACCCTGCGTGGGTGAACCTCACCGGATGCTGCAGTTGCGTGGTCCAGACCGGCACAGAGCTGCCCTCTCATTGCAGCTATGGCCCCGATGCGGTACAGGGCACACGTCCTCCCTGGCCCCAGCCCTGCCCGTGCTGCGCTGCCCGCTCGGCTGATTAAAGCCAAAGGAGAGTGGCTGCTTTAAAGGGCTTTTTCACCTGTGACCGGTGTTGCTGGACTCATCCCAAAGTCCAAGCCCTGGCTCTGCCAGGGCAGAGGCAGGGAGCACAAGGAGCTGCTGAAAAGACACATGGGTCACTCACCACAGCACCAGCGCAGACTGCAGCTCTGTACAGCCCCGTGACGTCGAAAGGGCCGCTCCGGGCCAGCAGCTTTGCTTTGCAGATCCAGAACTTGGCAAATTTCTCTGCGTGGGGCACCTGGGACAGCAGCGCAGAGAGCTCCTCCGCTGAGACACCCTGCAGGGATGGCAAGCGGTCAGCACTGCCAGAGGTGGTGACATCCACCAGGGACGAACCCCAAACCGACATCCACCAGGGAGGAACCCCAAACCCTGACATCCACCAGGGATGAACCCCAAACCCTGACATCCACCAGGGACGAACCCCAAACCCTGACATCCACCAGGGGTGAACCCCAAACCATGACAACCACCAGGGATGAACCCCAAACCCTGACATCCACCAGGGACAAACCCCAAGATGTAACATCCACCAGGGATGTACCCCAAACCATGACATCCACCAGAGATGCGCCCCAAGCCCCGATGTCCACCAGGGATGTACCCCAAACCCTGACATCCACCAGGGATGAACCCCAAGCCCTGACATCCACCAAGGATGCACCCCACACTGGCTCAATCAGCCTGGGCAGCTGCTGCTGCAGCAACTCCCGCTGCAGCCCGCGCTGCCAGGTACCAGGACACCAGCAATCACACACAACCCCGTGACCGGTATCGCTCTGTGTTCCCTGTTAGCACATCTCGCCGTGCACCTTTGGCCTATCTGTAACTCCACAGGGACTTGGACTTTCCTATGCATGATGTTACCCCTCTGGCAACTGCAGCCAAGCGAGCAAGAACGCTCGCCCCAAACGCCACTGCTGCTGGAGGGATGTGGCCCTCATCTCCCGGGATGCTCCAGAGGAGAAGCTTGTTCAAGCAGCTCCCACCCATTCCCACCTCCTCAGCAAGCGTCAGGCACTCTGTTAGCACGCTGTTGATCTTCTCCAGGCAGAGCTGCTCTGGTTCCTCTTGCTGCTCCGGTTTCTCTTGCTTCTCTTTCTCCTTGACGCTCCTCCAGGACAGCTTCACCGCCTGCTTCTGAAGCAGGGTCATAGGGGGTCGCTTGTACGTCTTGCCCTTGGACGCCAACCACTCCTCCAGCTGCTTCCTGTCAAAGCATAAGGGATTGCTGTTACCACCCCAGCAGAGCGCCAGCACTTGCCAGGCTCCTGTTTTCCCTGGGAATGGCCCTGCAGCCCACTCCAGCGCTCAGGAAGACACACCACCTCTGTCCTAAAAAGCACCTGAGCTCTGGGTCGAGGAAGGAAAACCCAAACATGTCGAGTACCATGAAGATAAGACAGGAGAGCAGCCACACGCTCTGCTCCTGCTTGCTGGATGGGTGGGAGAGGAGCCCCAGGTACCACCAAACCTCATCCCCGCCCTCCTCTTTCCTGGGCCATCAAGCTCCAAGCAGGGGTTCACTGAGTGGGGACTTTGGGCCCTGTTTCCAGCAGATCAGTGGACACATTAAACATGTGAAACTCTGCTCTTCCCTGGCCAAAGCTGCCACTTACTTACGATCCGCAGGCGATGGGTGCTTGGGAACACACCTGGCCATTACTCGACTTGCCTTTGGCACCTCCGATTTCAGTCTATCTCCCCTACTCCTCAAATTGCTCTCAATTGCTGGAGTTCTGGAGCTGTGCGTGCTGCGAGGCCGGTCTGGGGGCACTGTCACTCGGGGCGCTGCTGCGCATCCCGGAGGCGCCCCCTTCCCGTCCCTCCTGTCCGCCTGCCCTTTGGCCATGGGCCTTTGCCACTGTGCGGTGCCACCTGGTTTCAGGCTGGGTTTCAGGTTTGAGGTCCCCGGGGGCCTGCTGGAGCCTGGAGGCTTCGTGGGAGGCCTTTCCATTTGGGAGGGTCTGCTGTGCTGCTGAATGCTTCCTGCTGGACGTATCCCAAGTGGCTTTCCCACAGGCTCCCTTGCTGTACCAGTCTCCTCCTGGTTTGGCCCTGGTTTTTTATGTAGCGAGTGAGTAGAACCGGTGAGTAACCGAGGGGGCTGCAATGGCTGAGTTTTGACAGCTGGTTTTTGGGATGTGCTCTTTAAGCCTGGCAGAGCTTTTCTGATTTTGTCCTGAATTGGCTCTTTCTTAGCCTGGTGGTTATTAACTCTGTCCTTTGGGCCCATGACAGCTCTTGACGTCGTGGCTGAGCTGTGCCCATGAGCCAAGACTCCCTTGCTCCTGTCAGGCTGAGCAGCTCTGTTCAGCCCAGGGCGCGCAGAGCTTTGCGCTCGGATGTTTTCTTTGTTGCTGACCAGCCTGTCCTGCAGGCCGTCATTTCGGGAGCGAGGTGCCCCAGGAGCAGCCCGAGGCCCCGCAGTGGTGACAGTCCCCTGCGCAGCCTTCTTGTTCCTTTCTGGATTTGGGTGTCCAGAGGTTGAAGCTGGGAGCCTCCCTCTGGGCTGCGTAGCATGGGTCGTGCCTGGTGCAAGTCCCACGGGAGGCTTTGCGCTCCCCCTCGGCTGCTCTGGCCGCGCCACTGCTGCTCTCCGGGCTGTGTTTGAAGACGTTTGCTGAGCAGCGTGGCCAGCGCGCGACGAGGGTTTGGCACCGAGCTTGAAGTCCCTCTGCACGCCCTTCGCCGCGGTGCTGAGGACGTCCCTCTTGTTCCTGTCAGCCTGGAGAGACAAAGCCACCTCAGCTCTGAGCTCGCGCCTGCCCTGGCCCCAGGGGACATCCACACAAAGGCCCGCGGTGACAAAACATAACAGCCCCACAACACCCACCGTGGGCAGAGGATGAGACTCCCACACCAAGTTCCGCTGAAAAATTATTCGTTGATTTATGGCCAGCAGTTTAGGAGTCTGCTGACTGCGTCCCATGGGGGTCGGGAGCTCAGCGCCCCGATTTGGGTACCCTGTGCTGCCCAGACTCGCCTCAAGCATGAAATACAAATCTGGACTCCAAAGATTTCTACTTACATGCTCTAGGTTAGAAACTGCTCCTAAGGGTGGGTTCAGGTGTTTTGTCTGGTCCTTTAAAAAGGGTCTGTGGGAAGGCAAACAAGACATGAGGTTATTTTACAGAAAAGGTTAAATATCTAAAGCACTGCTGGGCGTCTCAGTCATGGGAGCTTACAAGAAGCTTTCAGAAATCAAAAAGCTGTCAAGGAAGTACCATTAACGCTTTTTCTTTTGTGTGGCAACAGGAAAGCAACACAAAACACTGACATCTAAGGTTGTCACAGAACTTAGAGTAACTCAAATGGCTCCTGCAGGCAGAGAGGCTCCTGGCACCACGGTCCCAACCTGCCCGGGTAACTGGGGTGCCCCCCAGGCAGCTGCTGCAGTGCCGCAGTCACTGTGGTGTCTTGGGGCGCATGGGCCACGGTTTGCTCTGCCACAGGGCTCCGTGAGCCCTCAGCTGGCAGGAAGGAGGGAGGGGGGCAGCAGCCCTGGCTGTCGTTGTCCTCCTCTTCCTCCTCCTGGAATTGCAGCCCCTGACAGCAACCAGCTGCAGGGCTCTCCCATCCCTGGAGCAGCTCAGCCCTCAGGGAAGATCAATGCCTGTGCAGATATTTCCTGTAATGAGGGAGCCCAGACAGGCAGGGTACTGCCCTCTGTTCTGCACAAGGGGTGTACTCTGCCATTAAGACAGATCAGGAATCTCCTCTCCTCGTTCCTGTCTTAGTGAAGCATTCCAGAGCCTGGCACCTTTCTGGTCCCTGATGCTGCTTCCCTTTCTCTTCACCTCATGGAGAAGTTTTAGGGTTTCCTTTGCACTACAACATCATGAGAAACACTTGCTGAGATGGTGAGTCTTTGAAGTGGTTTGGTTTGCCAAGCACATCAGCAGTTTCAATTAAAAGCTTGCAGAAAGGTGCCTTGCCACCCTCAGTCCGGCTCCAGAGGAACCAAGCAAGGCAGTGAAGGGCTCCCAGAGCCAGGTAGCGCATTTAACAGGTGCTTGTATCCATTTCCTTTTAAAGGCACTGCAAATGCCCTTGCCTAATATTAACCTAGCCCAGAAGGCCACTGAAAGCTCCCGTTAGAAGGTAGCGGTGAGACTTGAACCCTTTCTTCGAGACCCAGTTTTGAAGCCAGGTTGCCAGCAGAAAGGCCTGTCCTGTCAGAGCCAGGAGCTGAGATAAGAAAGGTTCACAGGGACCCAGAAATACCCAGAAGAGACAACACCAACCAGCAGGGAAACATCAACATCCAAACCATCCCTTCGCTCCTGCTGCCAGGGCGCTGCGGGGGCAGAGCCGTCCCTGGTCACTGCAGAGAGAGGGCAGACCCTGGCAAGCCAGGAAGAATCTGCTTTACCCGAATCACAGAGCGATCTGAGGGGGAAGGGACCTTTACAGAACATCAGTCCAAGCCCTGATCCTCCCGACTTACTTTGCGTTTGGGCATTTCAGCTTTGCTTTGTCTGCTGGGTACCCCGGGAACCGTTTGCTGCGCTCTTCTGCAAAGAGATGATCGGAAAGTGCAGTGTGTGCCCCACAACCTCGGTCTTCGGGGCGCCCATAAGAGCAGATTTCATTGACATTCACAGCATTACCACCCAGGTTCCCCACACTCCCTGCCTGAGCCTGGCAACACTGTTCCAGAAAATCCCAGAGCATTTCCACGCGTGCCCAGGGGCTCATTGGCACATAAAGACCAGAGATATCCAATGCTCACGCTGTGATGCTGCTCAAAACCTCAGTTGTGTGGGCCTTAATTAACTTGCACAAGGAAAGGGAAGAGGCTGCTGATGACAGCTACATATCCCGTCAGCCTGTACCCTGCCACAGCCAAGCCCTCTGCTAACACAGCCAAGTAGGAAAAGCGAGGAGTGTCTCAAGAGGGGGACAGGGGATACCTCTGACACCCTCAGTTTGGCTGAGGGCTGTGGTACTGCGGCATCTCATGGCAGGTACAGCCTGGCCTGGGTGGTGCCCAGCATTGCCCCATCCTCAGGGCCTGTCCCTGTCCCTGAAGCTGTCCCTTCACCTGGCAGCCCACATGCCCAGGGCTCAGAGGGCACCTCAGCCCCGCCACCCCTTTCCCCTGCTGCTGCACCCAAGGCTTCCACAGAGCCCCAGGAGCAGCGCAGCCTCCCCGGGTGCCCCGAATTCCCCCAGCACTGTAAGACACACCTCAAGCCCCCCGCATCGCCTGCCCTCCCAAACCACGTCAACGCACCCATGTCAAGGGTACCCCTGCAACACCCTCACCCCTAGACCGCCCCAGTGCTCCCCCCAAAGCCCCAGCACC